TCAGTTCAGCTCAGTACCTGACTCTTTGTGACCCCCAAGGACTACAGCACACCAGGCCTCCCTGCCCATCACCAACTCCTGGAGATTACTCAAACTCATGTCCATTGAGTTGGTGATGCCATCCAACCATCTCATCCTCTGTCGTCCCCTTCTCCTCCTGCCTTCAATCTTTCCCTGCACCTTTCCCCTATACCTATCCCCTACACCTTTCCCCTACACCTATCTAGTCCAACTCCCCAAGCACTAGAGAAGCATACAATGGAAAGAGAATGGAGTTAAGCCTAACTCAATAAAGGCTGTCCATAAAAATAGCTGTTCAATCAAGGAGTTCCTGGAACTATACTGGTAAAATGTGTTTCCAGAATACAACTCCAAGGACAGAGTGGTTTAAAACATTGGAGAGATAGTAACACAGATTCTCAAACTTGAAGGGTAAATCAAAGCTGATTTACATATTATATGATCTTTCTGTTCCACCATATTTTCAGTATGTTAAGAAAGCTAAAATTTAATTTTATGTCATTGTGACCATTTGATATCACTTCAAATTGTTCATAACAGCTTAAATACTGTACAATTAATTTTCATAATCACTCATAATTTTTTCCCAAGAGAACAAGAAATTCAATATAATTTTAAATATTAGTTATCTTCTTCCTAATTTATATTCCACTAGTAAGGCATATCGGAGAAGGCAATGGCACCCCAATCCAGTACTCTTGCCTGGAAAATCCCATGGATGGAGGAGCCTGGTAGGTTGCAGTCCATGAGGTCGCTAAGAGTTGGACACGACTGAGCAACTTCACCTTCACTTTTCACTTTCATGCACAGGAGAAAGAAATGGCACCCCACTCCAGTGTTCTTGTCTGGAGAATCCCAGGGACGGGGGAGCCTGGTGGGCGGCTGTCTATGGGGTCGCACAGAGTCAGACTCGACTGAAGTGACTTAGCAGCAGCAGCAGCAGTAGGGCATATAGCTTTCTGAGAACCAACTGCTTCTATATGTAGGCACACTATGTGAAAGTGAAGTCACTCAGTCGTGTCCAACTCTTTGTGACCCCATGGACTATAGCCCGCCAGGCTCGTCTGTCCATAGGTTTCTCCAGGCAAGAATACTAGAGTGGGTTGCCATTTCCTTCTCCAGAGGGTCTTCCCAATCCAGGGATCGAACCCAGGTCTCCCACATTGCAGGCAGACCCTTTATCCTCTGAGCCACTAGGGAAGCCCTTCTAAATACTATGGAATGTTTTCCAATTACTAGAAAACAAGAGAGATTCCAATGACATACTCTCTTTTCTCTGAGATTATTTGAAATGATTGAGGAAGAATAAAATTTGAATTTAGAAGAGTGATGATCTGAATACAAGCTCTGTCTCTGATAATATGTAGATTATTTAGCTCTTTTGAACTTTATTCCGCCTCATCAATGAAATGGAATGATCACAATTATACCTACCTTGGATAATTGCTGTTAGTGTCAGTAAGAAACATAGGAAGGGCTTTATAGTAATAAAATATGGAAAAGTAAAGATATGATATGAAGAACGTGAAGAACTGACTCACTGGAAAAGACTCTGATGCTGGGAAAGATTGAAGGCAGGAGGAGAAGGGGACAACAGAGGATGAGATGGTTGGATGGCATCACTGATTTGATGGACATGAGTTTGAGTAGACTCCAGGAGCTGGTGATGGACAGGGGTGCCTGCCAGACTGCAGTTCATGGGGTCACAAAAAATCAGACATGACAGAGCAACTGGACAAAGACAACAAATAAATTCATTACACATTCCTAATTAGGCAATGTTAAAAATGGTACATCAGAGTTTCCTTTTGACTGATTACTAATATCTTACTAGTTCTCCCATTAATCAGTAAATTAAACAAAATCTTTTTCTTGTATTTAATTTATGTTTTGTGAAGCTCCTGATTTAAATTTAAATTTTTTTTTCCTGGATAATATAATCCTGCTGTTTTTAGAGAGAAAAACTAAGACTCATAAAAGTATAGATATTCTTACCCTGTGTGGCTTATTTATTTATGTATTTTCAACTGCCCTGGGTCTTGCTTGCTGCACTCAGGCTTTCTGCAGCCATGGCAAGCAGGGGCTACTCTCTGCAGTGTGACGGGGTCTCCTTGTTTTGGCTTCTCTTGCTGTGGAGCACGGACTTAAACTTGTGGCTTCAGTGGTTGAGAAACTGGGCTTAGTGGTTGTGGTCTGCAGGCTTAGTTGCTTTAGGACATGTGGAATCCTCCCCGACCTGGGATTGAACCTGTGTCCCCTACTTTGTTAGTCAAACTCTTAACCATTAAATGTCCAGGGAAGTCCCCCTGTGTATTATTTAACTAAAATTTTTCTGTTTTATTTTGCCTGGGATTTATCTGTATATAACCTGCTTGTAGGAATCCCCTTTACAACCTGTTTAGAAGTGAAATAAAATGGTCCAATAGCTCTTTCTCATCTGTGCCCATTTTCACATTGTCAAAACTATTATAAGTTCTGAGATGATAAAATACTAAAGAAATTAAGCCCAAGAAGATAAGGACTTTGAAAATAGAGACGCTTTCATTTGAGACGACAAAGAGCTTTTTACTCTTTTATTTCCATAAAACAAAACAGAGACATATCTAGTGGACAACTCCAAAACAATATTGCTGCAATTTATATCAAAGAGTGTTTTTCCTAGGTTTTTCTCTAGGAGTATTATAGTGGCTGGTCTTAATTTAGGTTTTTAATCTACTTTAGCTGTGTTTTATATATGATGTAAGGGAATGCAGTTGAAGAGAGAATCTTTTTTCCACTGTATATTCCTGTCTCCTGGAGACAGCCTTGAACAGCTTAGTAAATATAGTCACCCAGTACCACGCTCTGGCATTGCTGTGTGGTCAAATCATGAAAGAAATAACTCCAGTTGACCACTGAGTTTGACCAAGCAACATTTGTGAAAAGAAACATGGCATGTTGCAGTCAGAGAAGTCGACTCAGCATGTAAAGAATCCTCCTGCAATTCAGGAGACTTGAGACAGTCAAGTTCGATCCCTGGGTCAAGAAGATTCCCTGAAGGAGGAAATGGCAACCTTTTCCAGCATTCTTGCCCAGAAAAGTCCATGGACAGAAGGGTCTGGCACGCTACCATCCATAGGGTCGCAGAATCAGACACGACTGAGCACATGGCACTTCGGTATGCTTAGACAGTCAGAGAAGCCCTTATTAATAAAGGGTGATGTAATAACATAAGATGACCTGATGTCATCCAGGTCAGCGAGGAGCATTGCAAATATCCCCAACTATCCAGAAAGTTCACATTAACCACTTCACTTTTATGAATAAGAAAAAGGAAGGAGATTTTTGCTTAAAAAACAAAAAACAAAAACAAAAAATCTCTGTTACCATACTATTGTGCTTTTGTAAAAGTGAAGTGCCATAACTGAAAATTTAAAAAAGAAAAGCTTGTAGTGCTGAAATATAGTGCTACAAGTGAGACAAGACTACAACACATTTGACACCATCTTCTCAAGGGACAAATTGAATCATTAAGACTGCAGATAATTTTCTTATCTGTAGACCTACACATGCCACAGACAACTAAGGCTATTTAAGAACATAAATGGCCATCATCAAAAAGTCTGCAAGCAATAAATGCTGGAGAATGTGTAGAGAAAAGGGAACCCTCTTACACACTTTTGTTGGGAATGCAAATTGATACAGCCACTATGGAGAAGAATATGGCGATTCCTTTAAAAACTAGGAACAAATCTACCATATGACACAACAATTCCACTACCGGGCATACACCCTAAGAAAACCATAACTGAAAAAGACACATGTACTCCAGTGTTTACTGAAGCACTATTTATAATAGCTAGCACATAGATAAACCTAGATGTCCATTGATAGATGAATGGATAAGAAAGTTGTTGTATATACACACAGTGGAACATTACTTAGCTTTAAAAAGAAATGCATTTGAGACAGTTTCAACGAGGTGGATAAACATAGAGCCTATTACACAGAGTTCAGTTAGTCAGAAAAAGAAACTCAAATGTAGTATATTAACAGATATATATGGAATCTAGAAAGATAGCACTGATGATCCTATTTGCAAAGCAGCAAAGGAGACACAGACATAAACAACAGACTTGTGGATACAGTGGGGGAAGGGGAGGGTGGGACGATTTGAGAGAGTAGCATGGAAACGTGCACATTACCATATGTAAAATGGATAGACAGTAGGAGTTTGCTGTATGACCCAGGGAACCCAAAGCCAGTGCTCTGTGCCAACCTAGAGGGGTGGGATGGGGACTGAGGTGGGAGGGGGTTCAGGAGGAGGATTTCATGTCGTTGTATGGCAAAAACCACCACAATATTATAGATTAATTATTCTTTAATTAAAAATAAAATTCTAAAAAGATAGAGCAAATGAATAATTCTAAAATTTCTGGCTTATTTTTAGTGGCAAGGAAACAATTAGATTTTGAATTTTTCCTTCCTCATTTTGTTGGTGCCTTGCTTTTGACTTCTGATAAACTCATAGGGAAAAAAAAATAAGCTGCAATTCCTTCACTCAACTGCCCCATCCCAATGGATCTATTGAAAAAATTTCTATACCTTATTTGCTTTACCACAGGCTATGGAAAAATAGAAGATCTGAGTCAATGTCCTATGAAAAAACTGATTCCCAAGTAACATGTAAGCAGAGTTTAGTAAAGTAAATGGAAGAGGCTGGAGTAAAACATACTTTAAAATCATGAAACTAGGAGATTATGGTTCTTTCCTTTGCCTAATCTGAAGCTATGAACATGAACATTGAAGACTCTAGAAAGTATATTAAAACTTATCAAAATTCCTAAAATGTGCCAATGTTAAATAATCAACAAGTAGTTTCTGAGCTTTTTTTTTTTTTTTCCTGTCAATGATCCTCAAAACTTTTACTCTCACAATTTACAACAGGTACAATTCTACATATGTATATAAATCATCACTTTCTTGGCATCATGACAAGCCTAAATTACTCCCCTCTTCAACAAACTCCTTATGACACTTTTCACCTCTATGTTTCTCACTGTATAAATGATAGGATTAAACATAGGAGTGAGGATTGCAAAGAACACAGTCACCCACTTGTCTGCAGGGTAAACAGCCACAGGATGTGTGTAAGTGCATATACAAGGGACAAAATACATTACCACTACTGTGAAGTGGGCACCACACTTAGAGAGGGCTTTGTGTCGTCCTTCATAGCCATGGGATTTCAGGGAGCTCAGGATGACTATGTAGTAGATGAGCAGCATCCCCCTTGTGTTAACTGCCACCACCATACCAAGCCTATAGGTATCATTGCAGGCAAGTTCCAACAGTGAGAAGAAATCACACATGAAATGATCAATGACATTGGGACCAGAAAAGATCAAGTCCATGGCAAAAAGAATCTGCACAGTGGCATGCAGGATCCCCCCAGTCCAGACCACCACCAGGAGCTGGCAGAGCCCCTGTCGCATGATGGTCATATAGTGCAGAGGCTTGCAGATGGCCACACAGTGGTCATAGGCGATGACCAATGGGGATGGTGACCTCTGATCCCACCAGGAAATGCTGCATAAAGAACTGAGTCAGGCAGGCACCACAGGAGATGGTTGTCCTCTGGTACAGCAAATCAACTATCGATTTGGGAGTGGTGACAGAGGTCAAGGAGGCGTCAAGGAAGGACAAGTGAGTGAGTCAGAAGCACATAGGGCCAGAAAATGTGGGGCTGAGGGAGATGGTGATGACCATGAGCAGGTAGGCCAGCGCTGTGAATAGCAAAATGATCTCTGATGCTCCAAAGAATTGTTTGAGGTAAGACCTGTTTCCTGCAGCTGTATAGCATGGGAATTCATTGGTGCTCTGTGATGACCTAGAGCAGTGGGATCGGGCAGGGGGTGAGAGGGAGGCTCAAGGGTGAGGGGATATATCTATACATATACCTGATTCACTTTGTTGTGCTGCAGAAACTAACACATGGTAAGGCAATTATACACAAATAAAACAACCAACCAAAGAAGAAGCCACTGAATTATACAGCTGTTTTTTTTCCTGTTTTTGTCTATGGCACATGGCCCATGGGACCTTAGATCCCAGAACCCTTGCAGTGGAAGTGAATAATCTTAAGACCTGGACCTCCAGGTAATTCCCTGAATTAGATGGCTTTTTAATCACAGAGCAAATCAGCTAGCATTTTAAGGTTGTGTTTTTTTTCTAAGTTTTCCTCTAGGAGTATTATAGTGACCAATCCTACATGTAGGTCTTTAATCTATTTTATTTTGTATATAAGGTAAGGGAATGTGTTGAAGAGGCACTCTTTTTTCCATTGTATATTCATCCATCTTGGAGACAGTCTTGTACATCTTAGTAAACACAGTCACCCCAGTACAAAGCTCTATCATTGCTGTTCACTCAAATTATGGAAGAAACAGCTCCAGTTGAACACTGAGTTTGACACAGTAAAATCTGTGAGCAGAAACATGAGTTGGTGTGTTGTAGTTAGAGAAGGTCTGATTTATAAAGAACGATGTAAAAATGTAAGATGATCTGATGTCTTCTAGATGCAGAGAGGAATATTGCAGGAATCCCCAACTTTCCTGAAAGTTCACCTTAGCCACTTTGCTTTTGTGAAGATCAACACTAATTCTTTTTTTCAATAACAGCAAGGAAAACTGAAGGGGATTTTGCTTTAAAAAATTATATTACCATGCTAATGCCGTTTGTTTGTAAAATTTGTAAAAGTAAAGTGGCATAATTTGAACTTTCAAAAAGGAAAAAGTTGCAATGCTGAAATATACTGCTATTAATACATATTAGACAAGGCTGCAACCTATTGATACCATCTACTTGAAGGACAGTGACTCACTAAGACTGTAGATAATTTTCTTATCTATACACCTAAACATAGCACAGACACCTAAGGATACTCAAGAATAGAGAGCAAATGAAGACTAACCTCAAAACTTCTGGCTTATTTTTCTGTTTCTACCAATAAAACAGATGGTGAATTATTCTTTTGTCCTTTTGTGATGGGCTCTCTTTTTTGCTTTTTGTAAAATCATAGTAAAAAAGAAATTTTCAATTGTGAGTCATTCGCTAATTGCCGCTTCTCTGTGTATCTACCTAGGAATTTCTACCCCTTATTTGCTTTACTACAGGCTAGGCAAAAATAGAAGTTCTGAGATCAATGTCCTGTGGAAAAGCCAATTTTGTCCAAGTAATAAATATGAATTTAGTACAGTAGGTATCAGGCTCTTGAGAAGAACATTCTACAGTTCTCAAACCAGGGATTTATCTTTGCTCATTTCATTTCCTAACGTGAATCTTTGGACAAGAACATTGAACCATCCTATAAAGTATATTGGGGTTCCCCAGTGACTCAGTTGTAAACAATCTACCTGTAAGGCAGGAGACTTAAGAGACCTGGGTTCTATCACTGGATCAGGAAGATCCTCTGGAGGAAGGCATGGCAACCCACTTCTTGCCTGGAGAATCCTATGGACGGAGAAGTCTAGTGGACTATAGTCCATAGGGTCTCAGTCAAACATGAGTGAAGCAACTGAGCACTCAGAAAGTATATTAAAACTTATAAAAATGCCTAAAATATATCCAGACAATATTAAATAATCAAGAAATATTAGTTTCTGGCCCCTTCTTTCTGTCAATGATCTATGATTTTATTTTTACTTTCTATCACAATTTATAACAGGTATAATCTTACCTATGTATATAAATCATTCTATTCTTGTCATTGTGAACAGCTTAAGTCATTATCATTTTCAGCAAACTCCTCATGGCATTTTTCACCTCTGTGTAAATGATAGGATTTAACATGGAGTGAAGACTGCAAAGAACATAGTCAGTCACTTGTCTTCCAGGTAAGTGGTCACAGGACGCATGTAGGTGAATATACAAGGGACAAAATAGAGCACCACTACTTTAAAGTGGGAGCTACATGTAGAGAGAGCTTTGTGCCTTCCTTCAGAGCCATGAAGGAAGCTCCAAGGATTTCAGGGAGCTCAGGATGACTAGGTAGGAAATGAGGAGCATGAAAAAATGAGCAAGCACATGACCCCGATGTTAGGTGTTACCACCATTCCAAGCCTGTAGGTACTGCGGCAAGCAAGAGGCAACAGTGAGAAGAAACCACACATGAAATTGTCAATGGTGTTGAGGCCACAGAAGATCAAGTCTACTGTGAAAAGAATCTGCACAGTGGCATGTAAGATCCCCCCAATTCAGACCACCACCACCAGGAGCTGGCAGAGTCCCCGTCACATGATGGTCGTGTAGTGCAGAGGTTTGCAGATGGCCACATAGCAGTTACAGGCCATGACAATGAGGATGATAACCTCTGATCCTCCCAGGAATTGTTCCAAAAAGAGCTGGGTCAGGCAGCCACCCCAGGAGATGGTTCTCTTCTGGTACAGTGGGTCAGTGATCAATTTAGGGGTGGTGACGGATGTGTAGGAGGCATCTATGAAGGCCAAGTGAGTGAGAAAGAAGTACATGGGAGTAGAAAGTGTGGGAATGAGGGAGATGATGATGACCATGAGTAGACTGGCCAACACAGTAAATAGGAAAATGAACAAAAAGACAACAAAAAGTATTTTCTTTAAGTGTGGATTCTGTGTGAGTCCCAAGAGAGCAAATTTAGTTGCCTTGTTTAGAGATGTCAAGAGATCCATTTAGCAGCATATACCTTCCTGGGTCCTGAGCTACCTACAGAGTAACAAAGAATGATACCTAATAATCATTAAAGTGTTAGAGTCTGAATTCTTTAGAACCTAAACACAGCAGTCCCTGGAACTGTGGAGCGTGTCCTTGCCACTGTGCCCGGCACTTGCTTCAGTTATTGCTTACTTCCTTAGTGATGTGTTTCCCCTCTTCTAACATCTAGAGCTTGTCACCCATAAAATATCTCTTGGGCAACATTTGATGTGTCATTAACTGAAAAAACACTAGGATTTTCCCCTGCTTTCCAACTCCATATGACTCTGCTAAGTCATCTCAGTGTCTCATGTTTCCAAGACTTCCTCTCTGTGTATGAGGTTACAAATTTTAATTCTCAGATGCACCTTGTAAGCTGGGATGTGCCACACACAAGTAAGAGTTATTCCCTTTTCCATGATAATTTATATTTGAACCCTCTGCTCTAACTTTGGAAATAAAGACATGGTCAAAAGAAATTCATCATAAACAGTGGGTTTAGGGAAATACATATAAATCACTGCTCACACAATGTAACTAGTACCAACCAGTATACAAGCTATTCAGCTGTGTTTCCTCACTCACTGTAGTGCTTGGCATGGTGTCTGTAGTGTGTGAAACCTATTAGGTGATAAGTAGATGCTTGATGAATTGTTATACACCATGGGTAACTATATGCCTGACTCCCTAGACCATAAACCTAGGAGGAATTCAGGTGTTCTTTTTCTCCTATTCTGTTTATCATTACTCTCTACTTTAAGAGAAACAAAAATAAACATTTGAAAAGAAGCTGCCCTCCAGCTTAATAGTTTTGGCACATCTTATGGGGTAAATATTAAAATATTTAATTGCCTCTAGGAACAAGTATGCTATGGGGTCTTTTTACTTTCAAGATAGTTATAGTGTTTGTTAATCAATTTTTTTTTATTCTTTAAAATTCTGTTTCATATTGAATTTAATGTAGTCGTGCTCAGTAAATGTAAAGCTTCTATAACCTTGGGTAAAAAAAGAAATAAAAACTCTCGCAAAGTTTTTCAGTATATAAGGATTTTTCAAGTAGTGGAAAGTTTATTTTCAAAGTTCTTAAAGTAAAAATTTAATGTGAAGAGCAGAAAAATCTGAAAGATACAGAGATAGACAATGTACTATATATTCATGCATATCAATATATACTCAGACTAACACAAGCACAGATAAAATCTGCTCAAGTATCTATTACAAGTTCCCACACTCGAGAAATATTTGTTGGACGCTTATTGTCTATGAATGTGCATCTGTTAACACAAAGCCATGAACAGTGTTCCTGCTCAGTGCCCTTAAAATTTAAATTTCATTCCCAAACAACAGCAAGGTGTCCATCCACAATAGAAACGGTCTTTCCACTTCTCCCTATTTCTACTACATGCATTCTCATGTCTTCTTCTCCCACATTTTCATAAGATCCATCTTCCTTCATTCCTGGTTATAGACTACTGAATTACTAATAGAATGAGAAATATCAGGACACAAATGTCCCAAAGCAAAGACAAGAGAGGATATAAGTACAGTATAATGTATTATGCAAAAGTATGCCTTACCTTCAAAGATCAATGGACAAAGAGCTTTATTTTTTAATTATCCAAAAGGAACACAACAGGGACTTCCCTAACAGTTCAGTGGTTACAGAGGGGTTGTGGATTTGACCCCTGGTTGAGGAGCTAAGACTCCACATGCCATGCAGCCAAAAAAAAAAAAACAAAATATACTTTAAAAAAGCAATATTGTAACAGATTCAGTAAAGGTTTTTAAAATGGTTCAGAAGAAAAAATGAACACATACTCTTCTGTGTGTGTGCTAGTCACTCAATCATGCCCAACTCTGTGCGACCCCATAGACTGTAGGCCGCCAGGCTCTTTTGTCCAGGGAATTCTTTAGGCAAGAATACTGGAGTGTGTTGCCACTCCCTGCCCCTGGGAATCTTCCCAACCCAGGGATCCAACCTTGGTCTCCTGCATTACAGGCAGATTCTTTACCATCTGAGTCACCAGGGAAGCCCTATACTCCTGTAAATATTAATTAAAAACTGAAAATTATAGTTATGAGAAAACAAAGTGGAGCTGATTCACTGCATTTTGTTATTCTGAGGTACAATCCTCTAACAGATCAGAAAAGGGTATACACACAATGTAAAAACGAGAGATCATTTATATAATAAAACTGTTTTTGAAATATCTATGAAGAAGTTTATGTTTTTGTTTTTCTTTTGTGCACAATACTCTGTCTAGGAATAAATTCTAATGGGGAAATGGGAAGGGGGTTCAGGATGGGGAATACATGTAAATCCATGGCTGATTCATGTCAATGTATGGCAAAAATAGCTACAATATTGTAAAGTATTTAGCCTCCAACTAGTATAAATAATTGGAGAAAAAAATAATGGAAATATTTTTAAAGGAGAAAAATCATTACTAACAAATATTTTCAATACAATTATTAAGGGTTGTGGAAAATCTGGAAGTGGTATGTAATATTCAACATTGGAAAAATGGATAACTGAAATTGAAATTGAAAATTGAAAGTTGCACAGCTGTGTCCATGGAATTTTCCAGGCCAGCATACTGGATTGGGTAGCCATTCACTTCTGCAAGGGATCTTCCCAGCCCAGGGATCAAACCAGGTCCCCTGCATTGCAGGCAGATTCTTTAACAACTGGGAAGTCCAGTAATATGTACTTTCTAACAGGGATGCTTTAAAAAAATTTTCAGTATCACAAGAACATTCTTCATTTGTAATATAAAATGGAGACAATTTGGGATGCATATTTGAAAATTCTACCCAATTTTGTTATTCTTCTTATTAGTTTAAATATATGTCAGTAAGGAAAAAAGACACCAAAATATTTCTACTTATAAATTGGTAGTATTGTATTTGAATCTATCTTTATTGATGTTTTATATGCTGAAAAAGATACATTTTAATGTCAGATAGTTAAAGGTAAGGAATGATAATATCATTTATTTCATCCATTTAAATCTAAGAGTCTATGATATACAGACTATGATATTCTGGAAAAAAAAACAAAAACTCACCTATGAACATATCTGACATAGGTCCATGCTAGGGTTTCAGACAGCAGTTAGTTCAGCAAGAAAGAAGTAAAGTTGTGAGATTTTAAAATGCCAACTGGCTCAGCTATAAATGTCTTTGTTGGTTTATAAATGGTACCTTTGTATGAACCTTAGAAGTAGGATCATGTAGCTTGTAGGCAAATTCTTTAAAGTATCTTAGCTGTGTCTAATAGGATCTCAGGGGTGTTTTGCTATCATTAGCAGATCTTGCCAACAACCCAATGATATCAAGTAAAGTAGGTAAACATCAGAGGAGAACTTTTAGAGCACTCATCTTTTTTTTGTGCATCTTTGATTAAACACCTCATTTAATAAACCAAGAAAATATTCATGATTGTTGTGTGGATGATTAGCATGTGCATTTATATATTTTTATTATTTTTAAAATTTTTTTCCTTTTCATTTATTTTTATTAGTTGGAGGCTAATTACTTCACAACATTTCAGTGGGTTTTTTCATACATTGACATGAATCAGCCATGGAGTTACATGTATTCCCCATCCCGATCCCCCCTCCCACTTCCCTCTCCAGCCAATTCCTCTGGGTCTTCCCAGTGCAACAGGCCCGAGCACTTGTCTCATGCATCCCACCTGGGCTGCTGATATGTTTCACTATAGATAATATACATGCTGTTCTTACAAAACATCCCACCCTCGCCTTCTCCCAGAGTCCAAAAGTCTGTTCTGTACATCTGTGTCTCTTTTTCTGTTTTGCATACAGGGTTATCGTTACCATCTTTCTAAATTCCATATGTATGTGTTAGTATGCTGTAATGTTCTTTATCTTTCTGGCTTACTTCACTCTGTTTAATGGGCTCCAGTTTCATCCATCTCATTAGAACTGATTCAAATGAATTCTTTTTAATGGCTGAGTAATATTCCATGGTGTATATGTACCACAGCTTCCTTATCCATTCATCTGCTGATGGGCATCTAGGGTGCTTCCATGTCCTGGCTATTATAAACAGTGCTGTGATGAACATTGGGGTGCACGTGTCTCTTTCAGATCTGGTTTCCTCAGTGTGTATGCCCAGAAGAGGGACTGCTGGGTCATATGGCAGTTCTATTTCCAGTTTTTTAAGAAATCTCCACGCTGTTTTCCATAGTGGCTGTATTAGTTTGCATTCCCCCCAACAGTGTAAGAGGGTTCCTTTTTCTCCACACCCTCTCCAGCATTTATTGCTTGTAGACTTTTGGATAGCAGCCATCCTGACTGGCGTGTAATGGTACCTCATTGTGGTTTTGATTTGCATTTCTATGATAATGAGTGATGTGGAGCATCTTTTCATGTGTTTGTTAGCCATCTGTATGTCTTCTTTGGAGAAATGTCTGTTTAGCTCTTTGGCCCATTTTTTGATTGGGTCATTTATTTTTCAGGAATTGAGCTACAGGGGTTGCTTGTATATTTTTGAGATTAATCCTTTGTCTGTTGCTTTGTTTGCTATTATTTTCTCCCAATCTGAGGGCTGTCTTTTCAACTTGCTTATAGTTTCCTTTGTTGTGCAAAAGCTTTTAAGTTTCATTAGGTTCCATTTGTTTATTTTTGCTTTTATTTCCAATATTCTGGGAGGTGGGTCATAGAGGATCCTGCTGTGACTTATGTCGGAGAGTGTTTTGCCTATGTTCTCCTCTAGGAGTTTTATAGTTTCTGGTCTTACATTTAGATCTTTAATGCATTTTGAGTTTATTTTTGTGTATGGTGTTAGAAAGTGTTCTAGTTTCATTCTTTTACAAGTGGTTGACCAGTTTTCCCAGCACCACTTGTTAAAGAGGTTGTCTTTTTTCCATTGTATATCCTTGCCTCCATTGTTGAAGATAAGGTGTCCATAGGTTTGTGCATTCATCTCTGGGCTTTCTATTCTGTTCCATTGA